AAGGGTCTAGGCCTGGGGAAGGGTCTGGGCCTGGGGAAGGGTCTGGGCCTGGGGGAAGGATCTGGGCCTGGGGAAGGGTCTGGGCCTGGGGAAGGGTCTGGGCCTGGGGGAAGGGTCTGCGCTGGAGAAGAGGGTGTGGGCTGCCATGCTCGGCCTGCTTGTCAGTGCTGCCCAGATGTCTGAGGCTGCTGCATCCAGCCCCACCAGTAGGCACACACCCTGTGTTCCTGGGACCGCGTCCTCAGCACTCAGGGATACACTGCACTCTGGTCCAGCCTCTTTAGGGCACTCAGCTGTGGGACTCCTGCATTCCTCTCCATCTGTTACTGCCCAGCCAGGCCTCCTACAGGTATCTCCCCTTAAAAGAAGTTTCCAGCAGGTGTGGTAGCTCATGCTTGTAATCCCAGGATTTGGGGAAACCAAGGTGGGAGGACCACTTGAGGTCAAGAGTTTGAGACCAGCAGGGGCAACACAGTGAGACTGTCTCCGCAAAAACTGCAACGAAACAACCCCCAAGATACAAAAATTAGCTGGGCATGGTAGTGAGCGCCTGTAATACCAGCTACTGGGAAGGCTGAGGCAAGAGAATTGCTTGAACCCGGGAGGTGGAGGTTGTAGGGAGCCAAAATCACACCATTGCACTCCAGCCTGGGCAACAAGAGAGAAACTCTGTCTCAAAAATAAAAAAGAGGTCTTGCTCTGTCACCCAGGCTGAAGTGCAGTGGCACCATCTTGGCTCACTGAAGCCTCAGCCTCCCGGGCAAAGGATCCTCCCACCTCAGCCTCCCATGTCTAGCTAATGTTTTCTTATTTTGTTTGTTTCGGAGACAGAGTTTTGTGCTACCACGCCTGGCCATGCACCACCATGCCTGGCTAACTTTTGCATTTTTAGAGACAAGGTTTCTCCATGTTGGCCAGGCTGGTCTTGAACTGCCAACTTCAGGTGATCGACCCATCTTAGCCTCCCAAAGTGCTGGGATTGCAGACATAAGCCACCACTCCCAGCCAGACCCTGTCTCTTAAAAAAAATTTCGTCTGGGTGTGGCGGCTCACGCCTGTCTGTAATCCCAGCAGTTTGGGAGGACAACGCGGGCGGATCACGAGGTCAGGAGTTCGAGACCAGCCTGGCGAATACAGTGAAACCCCATCTGTACTAAAAATACAAAAATTAGTCCAGCATGGTGATGCGCGCCTGTAATCCCAGTTACTCAGGTGGCTGAGGCAGGAGAACTGCTTGAACCCGGGAGGTGGATGTTGCAGTGAGCGGAGACTGCACCACTGCACTCCAGCCTGGGCAACAGAGCGAGACTCCATCTCAAAAAAAAAAAAAGGGTTTCACAGCAGCAGCAGAAAGTCTCCAGTTAAGTTTTGTTTGTTTTTGAGACGGAGTCTCAGCTCACTGCAACTTCTGCCTCCTGGATTTAAGCGATTCTCCTGCCTCGGCCTCCTGAGTAGCTGAGACTACAGGAGTACGCCACCACGCCTGGCTAATTTTTTCGTATTTTTTAAGTAGAGATGGGGTTCATCACGTTGGCCAGGCTGGTCTTGAACTTCTGAGCTCAGGTGATCCGCCCACCTCAGCTTCCCAAAGTGTTGGAATTACAGGCGTGAGCCACCCAGCCCAGTCCCAGTTAAGTTAAATGAGCTCGTGAACACTGAAGCTTATTGCTTTCCCATGTTGGAAGAATCCTGGGGCGAAGTGGATGACAGTGCTCTGCTTGGCCTTTCTGGGCACGGCCCGCCTTTCTGTCTGGTCCAGCGTATGGGATACTGCTGGCTCTTGACCTCCTCTGGCTGTGGTGGAACCGCGGGTCCTCCCCGATGTCCACAGGGGGGCAGTCTCAGCCAGGCCCCGCAAGACCCGCCCCTTCCACACCTTAGTTCCAGCTAATGGGAACTGTACTTTTTGTTATAGAAAGGTGCTATGGAAAATATCAAATGTTTTAGAGGTAGAAACATGGTGGCAGTTTCAGCCAGAGGTGGCACTGAGGCTTTCCTCTTCAGCCTCCCCATGGTTAGTGTGCTGAGGGTTCGCACCGTGTCCCGCACGTGTGCCTGCAAGTGTGCCCGGACCAGGGTGTGGGGGAAGCAGAAGCCAGGAGGTGCTGCTCCCAGAGCAGGTGCAGCAGCATGGCCCCAGGGACAGTGACCGTAGTGTGGGGGGACAGGGAGGACAATGCAGGGACAGGAAATGGAGGTCCTGGGGTGTGACGTGGGGACGGGAGGCTGGAGGGCACAGGAGAGAGAGTGATGGAGGAGGAGGAGGGAGGGCAGAGGTGGCAGGTGGAGCGTGGAGCTGCTGACGCATGCAGCTTTGCAGTGCGTTGCGGTGCATGCCGACGAGCATGGGTCAAGGAATGAGGACCTTGCCTGAAGCACAGCCAGAATCAAAGTCGTCGCAGTAGTCTAGCGTGGCGTCTTGCTGCTGGCCTGCTCTGCTGGCATGCCTGGTGCCCACTGTGCCGAGGCAGGGAAACGTGGCTAGAGTGGAGGCCACACAACGTCCCTGTTCTTGGAAGGTGGGGCTTCAGGAGCTTTTTATACTTTGCTCAGCGTCCTTCTTCTAATGTAATATTATATGAATTATTTATTAAAAGCATTGTATATACTAATTAGAATAACAGTGATGTACCCGGGTGGTGTGGCTCATGCCTGTAATCTTAGCACACTGGGAGGCTGAGATGGGTGGATTAGCTGCTGTCAGGAGTTTGAGGCTAGCCTGACCAACATGGAGAAACCCCATTTCTACTAAAAATACAAAAAATTAGCTGGGCATGGTGGCGCATGCCTGTAATCTCAGCTACTCTGGAGGCTGAGGCAGGAGAATTGCTTGAACTCGGGAGGCAGAGGGTGCGGTGAGCAGAGATTGCCCCAGGTCTTCTCTAGCCCCCACAAGCAGACACCCCTGTGACCAGCTCCAGCTACTCTTTATTTTTTTGTTTTTCAAGGTAGGTTCTCACTGTGCTGCTCAGGCTGGAGTGCAGTGGTGCCATCACAGGTCACTGCAGCCTCCACCTTCTGGACTCAGACGATCTGCCTGCTTCAGCCTCCCAGGTAGCTGGGATCACAGGCATGCCCCGCCATACCCCGCCAAGTTTTTCTTTTTCTAGAGATGGGGTCTTGCTGGGTTGCCTGGGCTGGTCTTGAACTCCTGGGCTCAAGCAGTCTTCCTGCCTCAGCCTCTCAAATTGCTGTGGTTACGTGTGGAGCCACCATGCCTGGCCTGTTCTAGGTCCTTTTTTTTTCAAGACAGGGTCTCATTCTGTCACCCAGGCTGGCCTGCAGTGGCACAATCACAGCTCACTGCAGCTGTGACCTCCTGGGTTCTAGCGATCCTCCCACACCTTAGCCTCCTGAGTAGTAGGACCATAAGCAGGCACCACCACACCCAGCTAAGTTTTTGTTTTTTGTAGAGATGGGGTCTCCCCGTGTTGCCCAGGCTGGTATTGAACTCCTGGGTTAATCAGTCTTCCTGCTCTGGCCTCCCAAAGTGTTGGGACCACAGGCATGAGCCACCACGCCTGGTCACTGCTCTAGCTTCTTGTAGGCCACTAGGTTTGTGGCAGTTTTGATGGCAGCCACAGAAAACTAGTACACAGATTCTAGTGTGACAGCCCGGGCAGTCTCCAGGCACTGCCCCTTCCCAGCACCACCTCTGCTGGAGAGGCCTGTGCTCAGTGCCACTGCCCCTGCTGCCGGCTGGCCCTGTGGCCACCTTACCCCCCAGGAGGCCGGCTCGATCTTTGCCTCTGCTGCCGCTGGGGGAAGTGGAGTATTACTTGACCCTGTTCAGCTCTCAGTTCCCAGCTACACCCAGAGCTGCCCCTTGCTCTCTGCAACACTTTCTTGGCTGCTCTTGTTCCTTTTTGTTTCCAGCTGAACTTTAGAATCATTTTACTGGGGTCTTTAAAGAATCTTGTTAGTATTTGTTTGGGATTCGCTTGTCTGTGCTGCTGGCTGCTCCTGGGTGACCCTGAGGTCCCTGCCGTTGTGCTTTTCCCGGAGGGGCTGTCCCCAGACTCCAGCAATTGGCTTTCTGTGTCTGCATCCCATCCTTCCATTGTCCTCCGTCAGGCCCTGTGCACTTGCCTTTCCCCACGAGGCGGAGGTTGTCCCTGTGTCCCCGGATTCAGCAGCATCAGTCCTTGTATCTGCTTTGACACAAATGCACTGGCTCCTGTGCTGTCCACTGAGGGCTGACGCTGTGGGGTGGGGGAGACCCTATCCTGCTCCCCAACCTTTGGGTAGGCCTGGGCCTTGCCTCAGTCTTCACCTTGCCGTGCTCGTTGGAAGATCAGGCTGCAGTGCTTGAGCTCGAGAGCCTGGTGAACAATCCAAATGTCCACCTGATGTTTCCAGAGGTACCAGGCCCAGGTCTTAACCCCGGAGCCCTGCAGGGCAGCGTGTGGTGGGTGTCTGGGGCTTGCTGTCAGTTGGCAGAGCTCCAGAGCAGAGTGCCCAGCAGTTTCAGCTGTAGCCACCCTGCATGTGGGTGGGCTGAGGCGTGGGGCATTCTTCAGACTGACTGGTTGCAGTGCCTTCGGGCACACGGGACGGCCCCTGCGTCCCCAGAGCCTGCAGTGCAGCAGGGAGGTGGATGCATTTACATTGGTCACTGTGCAAGAGTGGCATCTGGGTGGGCTGGCCTGGGGCACGGGGAGGAGAGCCAGCCCATGCTGTGTGCACCGCGTGCGGAGGTTTGGAGGCAGATCTGTGCTCTCGCCCGGCGGCCATGTGGCAGCATCCACTCTGTACTGGCAGTGTGTCAGGGACATGGTTAGAAAATGCAGGAGGTGCAGCTGGCCCACCCTCCATCCTGCTGGCTGGGCAGAGCGAGTGACGCTTCCCCCACTGGGGCTCAGTGATGGGGGCTGGGGCCCACCTGCCGCTTCCCCCACGAGTGCTGACCCCGCTTTGCTCTCACTTTGTGTATGTGGATGTCGTGAGGCTGTAAACGCAGGTCTTCCCCAGGGTTTGGCTCATCTCTTTTGTGTTTCCAGGTGCTGGCAAAACCCCGACTCTGGGCGGCGGCTTCCACGTGAATCTGGGGAAGGAGTCAAGAGCGCAGACCCTGCAGAACGGTATTTCCCACCGCGGATGCTGCTGAGCGTGCCGCAGGTCCCAGAGGAGGGGGTGGTGGTGCTGGGGTGGGGGCGCTGACTCAGCCATGGGCCTCATGGCCTGCCACTTGGTCACCCTGCACGCCCGACCCAGGCTGCCTTCCAGGAGGAATTGTGCCCTGAGTCCCCTCCTGGATGTCCTGCAGACTCTGCCAGGGCTGCTGGGGTGAGCTCAGTGGGCCCTGCAGGGTCCACAGCTGTTGGTTGCTGGTCTCAGTGAGACGGAGGCAGAAACAACACATTTAAGGCAGGTGGATGTTGTAGTGACATTCTCAGTGCGTTTTGTAAAAGTGCTAGTTGACAAACTGGAGAAATGTCTGCTGGGTTATTTGTCTCATTATTGAGTTGAAAAAGTTCTTTAAGTATTTTAGGTACAAGTCTTTTATCAGATGGATGGTTTATAGGAAATTTTCAGCTATTTCATGTGTTCTTTTCATTTTCCTTTGTCTTTCTGTTTCTCGATGGTATCCTTTGGAGCACAAATGTTTTAAATTCTGATAGTGTCCAGTTTGCCTGTTTAGTCTCTTGACCCCTGTGCTTTGGTGGAATTAACAGATACTGCCTAATGCAGTCCGAATCGTGAAGATCGGTGCGTAGGAGGTTTGGAGTTCCGTGGCTTCAGCCCTTACCTGTAGATTTTGCTCCGTGTTGAGTTAACGTTTGCATGCGATGTGGGGGCGAGGGCCTGCCTTCACTCTTGCACGAGGACACCCAGTTTTCTCAGGACCAGGTGTTGAAAACACTGTGTTTTTCCAGTTGGCGTCCTCTTGGTGCCCTTGTTGAAAATCAGTTGGCCGCAAACCGGAAGGTTTATTTCTGGAGCCTCAGTTTGGCTCTGTGAACGCATGACGCTTGCACCCATTCCCGCTGCTCAGGACACCAAAGCTTTGCAGTAAGTTTTGAAATCAGGAAGTGGGAGTCCTCTAACTGCTCCTTCTCAAGTGTCGCGTTGCCTGTTTGAAGTCCCCTGAATGGTCACATGAACTTTAGGATCAGCTTGTCAGTTTCTGCCAAGTCAGACGGGGATGCATTAATGGGCTGATCGTTTTGGAGGACACTGGCGTTTAAATGGCGTAAGTCTTCTGACACCTGAACATGGGATGTCTTTCCACTGGTTTAGGTCTTTAATTTGTTTCAACAATTTTAGTAGTTTTCAGAGTGTAAGTTTTATACTTTTGTTGAATTTATTCTCAGTTGATATGTATTGATCTTGTATCTTGCAGCCTGGCTGAACTAATTTTTTAGTCCTAATAGTTTTTTAGCGGATTCCTTAGTATTTTCTGTACGAGATCGTGTTATCTTTCCTTTCCAGTCTAGTGCGAGGCGAACGTGGTCACCACTACGCTGCGGAAACAACGGTTCCCTTCCAGCCTAGTGCCTGCTTTTGTTTGTCTTCACCACATTGAATCACAGTGCTGTGAACAGATATCCTCTTGTCCTTGATCCTGGGAAGCCTCCAGTCTTCACCATTGAGTGTGGTGTTGGCTGTGGGTCAGTCCAGGCCGGGATACTTTTTGCTAGGACCTCTTCGCCTTCAGTTTCATCAAGGACACTCTCAGGAACGCTCAGAGCACACGAGGGATCCTTGTGATGGGTGCAGCCATGTCCCGCAGCCTTGGTCTGCATGCTGGGAGGCAGTCTGGACAGGGAGAACATTTGTGTGGACAGCACCTCGCCACGGGCTTTTCTCCTGGGCCATCACCAGGAGGCGGGCTCTGGAGCACCTGTCTCTGCTCCTGGCTGCTGCTGCCAACAGGTGGCCGGTACTGACACACCGAGGCTGGCAGGGGTGGTTGGGCTTGCGATGGTCCCTCACGTCAGAGTGGATCATTATGCTTCCGTTGTGCTTTTGTCCTTGCCCCTGTGACCACGGACTTCTCAGTGGAGGAGTGTCAGCTCCTTTATTGCTGACTTCCGGCCGGATTCTCCCGCAGTGAAGAGCACCCTGTGTGATTTTGGCCCTTTCCTCCTGACTCCCGGCCTGATTCTCCCGCACTAGAGAGCACCCTCTGATTTCGGCCCTTTCCTCCTGACTCCCGGCCTGATTCTCCCGCACTAGAGAGCACCCTCTGATTTCGGCCCGTTCCTCCTGACTCCCGGCCTGATTCTCCCGCACTAGAGAGCACCCTCTGATTTCGGCCCTTTCCTCCTGACTCCCGGCCTGATTCTCCCGCACTAGAGAGCACCCTCTGATTTCGGCCCTTTCCTCCTGACTCCCGGCCTGATTCTCCCGCACTAGAGAGCACCCTGTGTGATTTCGGCCCTTTCCTCCTGACTTTCTCCCGCACTAGAGAGCACCCTGTGTGATTTCGGCCCTTTCCTCCTGACTCCCGGCCTGATTCTCCCGCATTAGAGAGCACCCTCTGTGATTTCGGCCCTTTCCTCCTGACTCCGGCCTGATTCTCCCGCACTAGAGAGCACCCTCTGTGATTTCGACCCTTTCCTCCTGACTCCCGGCCTGATTCTCCCGCACTAGAGAGCACCCTCTGATTTCGGCCCTTTCCTCCTGACTCCCGGCCCGATTCTCCCGCACTAGAGAGCACCCTCTGATTTCGGCCCTTTCCTCCTGACTCCCGCCTGATTCTCCCGCACTAGAGAGCACCCTCTGATTTCGGCCCTTTCCTCCTGACTCCCGGCCCGATTCTCCCGCACTAGAGAGCACCCTCTGATTTCGGCCCTTTCCTCCTGACTCCCGGCCTGATTCTCCCGCACTAGAGAGCACCCTGTGTGATTTCGGCCCTTTCCTCCTGACTCCCGGCCTGATTCTCCCGCACTAGAGAGCACCCTCTGATTTCGGCCCTTTCCTCCTGACTCCCGGCCCGATTCTCCCGCACTAGAGAGCACCCTCTGATTTCGGCCCTTTCCTCCTGACTCCCGGCCTGATTCTCCCGCACTAGAGAGCACCCTGTGTGATTTCGGCCCTTTCCTCCTGACTCCCGGCCTGATTCTCCCCGCACTAGAGAGCACCCTCTGATTTCGGCCCTTTCCTCCTGACTCCCGGCCCGATTCTCCCGCACTAGAGAGCACCCTCTGATTTCGGCCCTTTCCTCCTGACTCCCGGCCTGATTCTCCCGCACTAGAGAGCACCCTGTGTGATTTCGGCCCTTTCCTCCTGACTCCCGGCCTGATTCTCCCGCACTAGAGAGCACCCTGTGTGATTTCGGCCCTTTCCTCCTGACTTTCTCCCGCACTAGAGAGCACCCTGTGTGATTTCGGCCCTTTCCTCCTGACTCCCGGCCTGATTCTCCCGCACTAGAGAGCACCCTCTGATTTCGGCCCTTTCCTCCTGACTCCCGGCCCGATTCTCCCGCACTAGAGAGCACCCTCTGATTTCGGCCCTTTCCTCCTGACTCCCGGCCTGATTCTCCCGCACTAGAGAGCACCCTGTGTGATTTCGGCCCTTTCCTCCTGACTCCCGGCCTGATTCTCCCGCACTAGAGAGCACCCTCTGATTTCGGCCCTTTCCTCCTGACTCCCGGCCCGATTCTCCCGCACTAGAGAGCACCCTCTGATTTCGGCCCTTTCCTCCTGACTCCCGACCTGATTCTCCCGCACTAGAGAGCACCCTCTGATTTCGGCCCTTTCCTCCTGACTCCCGGCCTGATTCTCCCGCACTAGAGAGCACCCTGTGTGATTTCGGCCCTTTCCTCCTGACTCCCGGCCTGATTCTCCTGCACTAGAGAGCACCCTCTGATTTCGGCCCTTTCCTCCTGACTCCCGGCCTGATTCTCCCGCACTAGAGAGCACCCTGTGTGATTTCGGCCCTTTCCTCCTGACTCCCGGCCTGATTCTCCCGCACTAGAGAGCACCCTGTGTGATTTCGGCCCTTTCCTCCTGACTCCCGGCCTGATTCTCCTGCACTAGAGAGCACCCTGTGTGATTTCGGCCCTTTCCTCCTGACTCCCGGCCTGATTCTCCCGCACTAGAGAGCACCCTCTGATTTCGGCCCTTTCCTCCTGACTCCCGGCCTGATTCTCCCGCACTAGAGAGCACCCTGTGTGATTTCGGCCCTTTCCTCCTGACTCCCGGCCTGATTCTCCCGCACTAGAGAGCACCCTGTGTGATTTCGGCCCTTTCCTCCTGACTCCCGGCCTGATTCTCCCGCACTAGAGAGCACCCTGTGTGATTTCGGCCCGTTCCTCCTGACTCCCGGCCTGATTCTCCTGCACTAGAGAGCACCCTCTGTGATTTCGGCCCTTTCCTCCTGACTCCTGGCCTGATTCTCCCGCACTAGAGAGCACCCTGTGTGATTTTGGCCCGTTCCTCCTGACTCCCGGCCTGATTCTCCCGCACTAGAGAGCACCCTGTGTGATTTCGGCCCTTTCCTCCTGACTCCCGGCCTGATTCTCCCGCACTAGAGAGCACCCTCTGATTTCGGCCCTTTCCTCCTGACTCCCGGCCTGATTCTCCCGCACTAGAGAGCACCCTCTGATTTCGGCCCTTTCCTCCTGACTCCCGGCCCGATTCTCCCGCACTAGAGAGCACCCTCTGATTTCGGCCCTTTCCTCCTGACTCCCGGCCTGATTCTCCCGCACTAGAGAGCACCCTGTGTGATTTCGGCCCTTTCCTCCTGACTCCCGGCCTGATTCTCCTGCACTAGAGAGCACCCTCTGTAATTTCGGCCCTTTCCTTCTGACTCCTGGCCTGATTCTCCCGCACTAGAGAGCACCCTCTGTGATTTCAGTGTTATGAAATGCTTCGAGCAGTGCTTCCTGGCCCGGTTGAAGGCCAGTTTTGTAGGGTTAGGGTTAGGGTTAGGGTTAGCGCCTGTGTGTCGTGCACATGAATGCCTTCCTGCAGGAAGCGGGTGGAGTGCCGCGCATCCCTCCTCCTCCCCGCTGGCTGTGGTCCTCGTCTGTCACCAAGCCACAGTTCTGAAACGCCGCTCGGTGGGGCTCTCTCCTCATTGACCCGATGAGCCTTTGGTTTGGGACGCATTTCTCAGGGAAATTCTTTTTCTG